AATATGATGCTAACACATACTATGAATACACAGAATTCATTTCAAAAAACAACTTACACAGATTTAAGGATATCCACAGCAAGAATAAGGTTGTCAGGATTTATGCTGTTACTGATTCTGGGAAATGCTTGGTTTGTTTGCTCGACTTCTACTTTAAAAAGTTACCTCCAGATCCAAAAGCTTTCTATTTACGCCCACTCGTTAATTTTTCACTTGAATTGGGTAAACCCTGGTATTCAAATGTTCCTATTGGGATTAATACTTTGCAAAATATGATGAAAACAATATCCGAAAAAGGAGGTCTTTCAAATGTTTATACCAACCATTCTTTGAGAGCTACTGCGACAACATGTTTATATTTGTCAGACGTTCCTGAAAAGGTCATTCAGGAAAAGACCGGGCACAGTAGCTTAGCAGGATTGAGAGCCTATGAGAATACCTCTTCAGACCAATTGAAAGGAATGGCAAAGATGCTAGACTCAGCAACATCATTTCAGACTTCATGTATAAAAGCAGATCCAGATAAAATTGAAGTACCAGAGAAGAAACAAGAAGAGCTAGATGATAATCCACCAAAGAAGTTGAGAATGGGAGATGATACACCACTGAAACCAAAGCAAATGGCTCAAGTATTTTCAGGCAGTTTGGAAAATTGTGTTATTAACTTCTACAATAACTCTGACTCAAAATAATTTATTGAAGAGACTTCAATTTACTCTCTAATAGTTATCTAATCATTTTTGTCAATTTGACATTCATTTACCACTACTCATTAACACTTCAAAACATTCCTATGTAAAACCACAGAGTGTATTATCACTGATAATGCACACTGGCACTTTCCTGGCATTAAATGCACACTTTAATGAGTGTGCTATCAACAATAGCACACTGTAAAAAAGAAATAGTTAAATTAACCCCAAATTTCAGGTTACTAAAAATGCAACCAGGGTAACCTAATTTTCGGTTACTATTAACCGTTTTCTTTTGTAGTTAAATTAACTATTTGCCAATAACCTTGAATTTCAGGTTAATTTAACCAAGAAATTATATGGTTAATCCTTTGGTTCTGCATGACTGTTGTTAAATTAACATTCTCAACAGTTATTTTAACAATAAAAAATAGATTGAAAATAACCAATACAAAAGTTAAAGTAACATTAGTTGACATAAAATTAACAGCAAAATACAAGTAAAATTTACACAAAAAGTAGTAAAAATAATTACTAAACTAGTTGAATTAACTAAAAATTTAAGTAAACATAACAGTAAACAATAAACAACAAACATAATTATAAAACATTAAAATTGACAATATACTGACTGTTCCACCTTGTCTTCTTTGTATTCCTGTAGTATTATAACTATAAATAGCTTGTAAAAGTTAAATAAAATGATGTGCCGTACCATTTCACAACTGATGACATCATGAGATCCAATAGTTTATAATTTGTCAATTATTGCTTCTTTATAATCTAGAAATGGTAATACAATAACGCTATTGATAACCATCACACTCACAGTGTAATCATATTCTAGCAAAATCTTTTTCTTCTTTGTTATTCAGTTACCTGTAATTTCTTCATAATCTTAAATAAAAATTAATTAATTCCTTTATTCACAATTGTACTTCTTTCACTGTGCACTCACACAAAAATGATAAATAAAGTGTAATGAATTTCATTTAAGACAGATTCAACTGTTCCACACAAAATGATAATAAATAATACGTATGCATTGTCGATTCCATTCAAGACGGATTCAACTGTTACGCACAAAATGATAAAAAATGATAAAAGTGTGATGTCAACTGTAAATGTACAAATACATGCAATGTTAATAATTGCTCAAATACCTTAATAATAGTCACTGAATTTATAGCAAAATGTATACCAACACATTACATTCATGGCCAAAGATCTAGAAAAGAAATTAAGACTCATTAATTTAAAATTAAAATGATAGTAATTATGACTCGTCCACTTACACTTCAATAAGAATTATCATACATGCATGTACACGTACGATGTGACTACACGTATATAATACTCTTGATAATACTGAAGCTTAAAATTAAGTTATTATAAAAGCCTACAAAAATCCAAAAGTTCTATACCAGTCAATAAGTTTTGTAACTATATATGTATGTTCATTGTTCAAGATTTGAGTTGCCTATAATAATTAAAAGAAGAAAATTATTGCATGGTACGCTCGATCACTTTGAAATTCTTACGTGAGGCATTGCCTTATATCACCGACTACTGCATTATACGTTGAAGGTCTACTTGTTCCATCAACCAGAGCAAAAATATTATCTTGGAAAAAGAAACCGATGCTAACTATTTTCCTTGTATATTTTATATTGAAGATATAGTGTACAGCAAACCACACAAAGATAGCATCAGAGATAGAAACTACTTCTGTTAAAATATCCTGCTCAGCCACAACAAAGTACTGATTGCTAGTCTTTAAATGAACAATTCGAGGAACATTTTCTTTCATTAATGTAGCAATTTCTTCTAATGGTGTGGCTACCTATGACAACAATATTAATAGCAATGATTACAAAAGAATAGCAACAATAAGTAATAATAATAATAAATTAAAAAATGTAAAGCATTACGCCTTAGCCACACCTAGACATATGTGCACAAACATACATACATGTACATTTATACCAAAAAAAACTAAAAAAACAGAACTGCTTCACCAGTATGCATGGGCTTTGTAATAGTAATAATAATGATAAACCTACTTCATATTCACTAAAAAGAAGGACAAAAGCATCATCAAAAGTAGTTCCTTTACTTAGGAAGAGAGACACTAGAATTTTTAATGTGAAGATTTGCTTGTAATTGTAATCGTCTTTATCTAAAATAAAAAAAATGGAATCACAATTACTATACATGTACATGTAGTTTGTACCTCTATCCTGACATTGGTCCATCAAAGTAACAATAGCCTTTTTCTTCAAATCTCCGGCATAATTTAGTATCGCTTCTTGCCACTTGAGCCATTCCTTCAAAAACTTGTCCTTGATGCTGGCATCTTTAATAAGTAAGGAAAACTCGTGTTCTATCTGTCGTAATTGTAACAGTAATTTAATATTATTATAATAATAAATTACTATATTAGGCAACTTCAATGATGGGTAGATCTTGACTGTTTCAGATATTGGAGTTTCGGAAATAGTAGAATGACGATTGTTAAAAGTAGCTGCCATTAATGGTTTAAGGACTTCCTCTCGTGGCTTTTCGTTAGCCATCTCAGCTATTATTGCAGCTTGCAAATCTTCAAAGGACTGAGTCGGTAACTGATGATTTTTGCTAACAATGAAAGACGTACCAGCCCTAAGTTTACTTTTTCCTTTACTCTCTCTAGACTTTGGAGTATTTGACTTTTTCTTGTACTTGTCTCGATTTCTGATACATTCCATTATCTTCAACTTCCATGAACCCTAAAAGTGAATTAGTGAGAGATGGAGAGAGAGTATAGTGGTAATCACTAATGGTATAATTGTACTTACAGATGGTGATTTTCCAAATGGGTCTGCTAAAAAAGGATACTTTATTATTATATCATTTGCTACTCGTTCACATTGAGAAGGTGTTGGCGATTCACAAATAGCCGACAACATTACGCTCATGGTATAAACAATTTCTTTTCTTACGCTGGGTGTTACACGTCCTTCATTTAAGCATTTCTGAGTGTCACAAGACCATACAGAAGGCAGCTCAATACGTGTAGGCTGTGATGAGACTGGTGTTGAAGCACCAGTAGACTTGGATGAAACTGGTGTTGAAACACGAGTAGCGGACTTGGATGAGGTTGGGGTACATGGTGTTGCGATAGACTGTGATTCTGAAGATTGAGCTGGAGAGGAAGCAGCATCAGTTACATCACATGGCCAGACATCACAAGATACATTTGATGGAATAGAGGTAGCCAGCATAGCACTCTCAGCAGGAGAGCTTGTAGACAATGCCAAATCACTAGCCACATTTTTTGATGCCTAAATTTTGACAAACCAATACATTTATATAATTTATATTTATATACAACTTACTTGAGGGGATCTCAGTTGATCAAGATGGCGCAAAACCTTCTTTACAATACCAGCTGCTTCGCAAATTTTGAACAAGTCATCTCTTGTAAGCGAAAGGAATTCCATTCCATCCACATAGTTATCTAAAAGACAAACAATTAACATAAATAATAATGTGTAAGTTCCTCCGTACCTATGAATAACTGACAAAACCTCTGCGGAATACCTAGCTCTTCTTTTAAGTACTCGGCTACCTCTTCACAAGATGAATCCTGAGTAATTTCCATGATAGGACGAAAGGCTACAAAAGTAGTAACAAAGATAGGTCACTACAAAGGAAATACAACGAAACAAGACTACAAGAGACTAAAAGAGCAAAATGGCTGAATCCCTGCACTCCAGCTGTACGCTTAGTTCGTTCGTCCAAGAAGAAGTTGCGAACCAATGCGCATGCGCAACTCATTATTAATATAGGGGCGGGAACTTCTATAATCGATTAATAATAATAATAGAAATGAATTAATTAATTAATTAATTAATATACCAATAATGATCTAAGCAGATAGCCTACGGTAATCATGCACAATTCATGCATGCACAGATAAACTATAGATAATTTTAAAATTTAACCAGGTGTTTCTATAATGGCCTGTTCATTTCAGCAACAAAATTCAACAGTACTCCAGTGTCCTATGTGCCCGTTTTTGTGTTCTGCTCCAATACAGTGGTTGGCGCATTTACGATCCACCAAACATCAACAAGAGTTTAATGTATCCTGTTGCTTCATTGACTGTTCTCATGGCAGTTCCTTTAAAACATTCTCAGCTCTGAAGTCTCACATATACAGAACACACTATGAGAAGGAAGAATTTTGTAGTGAGGACACAGTTGAAACTAGTGAAATTTACCAATCTTACCAAGAGGAAGAAGAGGATGACATAGACATAAGAAGTCAGGAACTTTTACACACAACACAACAGGAGATGATTGAAGCAGATATAGCACGTCTTCTCCATGCTGATACAGAACAGCAAAAATATGAATCTGCTCTTTTTATAATGCGGCTTCGTGAGATAAATAGACTACCACAATCAGTGATTGAAGACGTAGTCAGCAGCAGTCGCTCTCTTTTTAGCAACACCTTTAAACGTCTCTATGCTGGTGTTCGTCAGCGTATAGCTGAAACTGGTCATAATATTGATATTTCTGACATTTTTGATGAGCTACAGGATCCTTTTGCTGGTTTAGAGACGGCATACCTACAAGAGCAGTATATCAATACGGAGTTCAAAGTGTTGGTGAGTGCAATATGCAATTGAGTATACAATACATCACTCTATAATATTTTTTATAGGAGCCCCTGTCAATAAAAATTGGTACTGCCTACTACATTGACAAAATGTTTGGGCAGAAGAGACGTAAGGTTCTACACACTGATTCAATGCATTATGTATCACTCTGCGATACACTACAAATGTTATTGGAAAATGAAGATTTTGCTTCACACCTCACCTTTGAGGCACAGAATAATGCAAAGCATTATTCAGATTTTTCTGATGGCTCATTTTATCAAAACCATAGTGTCTATAAGGCAAACATCAACAGCTGTTTGCAAATTATAGCCTATTATGATGAATTGGAATTATGCAACCCCCTAGGAACCAATGTTAAGAAACATAAGATAGGGTGTATTTTTTTTACCATTGGCAATTTACACCCTAAGTATCGCTCGTCTTTTAAGTCAATTTTTTTATCAACAGCTGTTAACTATTCAATAGTAGAGCGACATGGCATGAACGAAGTGCTCAAACCATTTGTAGAGGAGCTCAATAAGCTTGCTCTTTCTGGGATTGAAGTATTAAGAAATGGAACAAAGAAAATGTATAAAGGAGCATTAGTTGGATTTTTAGCAGATAATTTAGCCAGTCATACAGTTGGGGGTTTTAAGCAAAGCATGTCATTCGCCAGACATTTCTGTCGCTCCTGTATGGCTACAAAAGATGAGTCGCGAAAACACTTCACCGCAGAGAAGTTCAAATCTAGAACACCAGAAGAGCATGAAGTTATGTGCACTGAAATTATCAGTGACACAACTGGAGAAAAATCGACCAATTATGGAATTAACGAAAGGAGCATTCTAAATGATGTTATAGGGTTTTCTGTCATAGGAGGACTCTGCCATGACATAATGCATGATATGCTTGAAGGTGCTCTACCTTATGAGTTACGGCTTTTACTTCAGCATTTGTTTAATGCTGGCCACTTAAAATTACAAGAATATAATGATCGTGTAAAAGCTTTTGATTATGGCTACACTGAAACAGCAAACAAACCAAATGAAATACCTATACGCTGTTTTCAGGATAAGTTAAAGCTTCGATACTCTGCTTCAGAAATGCT